TAACGCTCTGTTGCAGTGAGCTGATTGAAGCTGAGCCGTTGCGCTGATTCCAACCCGATATTTTCTCATTCAGGAAATAAACTGCAGATCACCCAGAAACTCCTTGTCTTCTTTAAAACTACACAACGCAGAGTGGAGGGGTCACTTGGGCTGGCCTGGTACAGTGGAGTGAAGCAGAACCCGGTTACACTGGTTTGTTAATAAAGTTTGACTGACCCATCTACCTACCGACCGTCTACAATCAGGTCGTCTGCAGGTCATTTAGCACCACGTTCTCCACCAACATGCTGTGTCCGAATCGAGAAGGGTGGCCATCGTCAGGCCACGTCTCTTCTCACCGACTGGAGTCGGATTGTTTTGTTGACATTCCGTTTAGTGCAGCTCCATCTAGTGGATACATAACGTAACTTCAGCCTCTACTGTAGCGTCTATTCTATGCACTTTATAATCCGATGCGCCTTATAGTGCGGAAAATACGGTAACCCCGGAGATGGTTTCAGTGAAATAATCTGGTCCAGTCAGACAGGAAGGTGATGAAGTTTGGGAATAATAAAAACTCTGACATGTTTTCTGATTGTTGCAAATGGAGAGAATTTGTTCCTCTGTTTAAAAAAAACAAACATCCGTCACTTAGTTGAACTTTTCTGTGTTTAAAGTGTTACAAGAGTTTTATAGGGAGCTTCTGTTGAAATACTAAGCAGATAATATCTTATCTGCAGTAGGAAACTCTCCTGTTTATTTACTATAGATCATATTAGACATTATGGAGGTTGAAGCTAATGGCTAGCCTTAAGATGACCGACAGCCATGTACAAACGAGCTGCAAACACATTAATGATGAAATCTCCAAAACATACAAACACGTAACAAAAAAACACTGAAAACAACAAATACTGCTACCGCAGAACAAACAGGTAAAAACAGAAGCTAACGTTAATAAAACAGAAGCTAATGCTACATTGCTAAGCAAAAGTTAGAGGAAGCTAGCGCTAAATATTAAGTAGACTGTCTCTCTTCTTCTCCTTCCAGCTGATGTTTGGTGTGAAACTCGCTAACAGCAAAGCCTTAATGTTAAAGTTTGATGAACAGGACAGGAAGTTCCTCCAAACATTTTATGGCAACAGTTGGTTTAAAAGTCGTGATAAACATCCAGCCTGAGGGACAGTGTGCTAACCTCTATGCTAATACATTCAAATATTTACATTAATATGCTGCAGCAGTTCATGAGGAAGCTGCTCTGACATCCCCACCGCTCTCTTCATCTCTGCATTCTCAGCACTCCTCCTCTTCCTCCTCCTCTTCCTGCTCTGAGGCTGAGTGCGTGATTTAATTTGTTTGGTAATATCAGGACTGGCAGGTTCAGCCCAGCTTCACTCTAAAGTGAAATTGGACAAGAGCATTGGAGCCTCACCGTGTTAAACCTGCCTCACCTTGACAGCTGCCTGAGAGAGGAGGAGGAGGAGGACAAGTGAACCAAGCATGAATCTATTAGAGGATACTTGGAGTCCATCAGCTGGAGCTACAGTACGGTCCGGTCCAGTCCAGTTCGGTCCGGTTCCAGCAGCTCACTGACCTGAATCAGGTCTTCGTCTGATATGGACCTTAAACCTGCAGTTTACATATTTTTTAAAGTAAAAGTTTAACAGGGGATAATCTGTGAAGAAATGCAGCTCCTCTTATCAGAACAACAAATCAGAGCCAGGAGGCAGATCTTCCTGCTGTCAATCAGCTTCATGTAAACACTGCTCAGACCCTCCATCTTGCTCTCTGCTACGCTAAAGCTGAATCAGCACGGCAAAGTCTATAGTGGATGCTAATTAGCATAGCCACAGACAGTCCTGCACCGGAAGGTTGTTTCTCTACAGTTAGCACAGTTAGCAGCAGCACATGGAGATGATTGACAGCGCTAAGTCCCTCCTCCTTGCTCTGATTGGTTGTTTTTTCTTCAGACAGCAGCTGGAGATGAATGTGTTCAGATTATCTGACTCAAACTGTCACAACATGAAGACAGATTAACAAAAACATTTTATAAAAGTTACTGCAGCTTTAAGAGGTCAATGCTGGGCGGGGGCAGGGCCTAACGGCTGGTTCTCCATCAGGTCCAGATCAGGTTCTGGTTCTGTTCTCCATCAGACCTCCCAGATCTAACGGATGGAGGAACCGGGTCTGCAGTTCGTTGTGGCTCCAGAAAGGTTCTCCTGTAGCAGTGAGTGTTGCAACAACTCTACAGAGGCCTCTGACTGAAGCCTGTCGCTGTGACAGAGGGATGTTGGAGTCAGATGAGATCGTTGGAAGAGACGCTTTGAAGTTCCTTCTCATTTTCAGGTTTTTATTTTGAAGTGGAGCCTCGTTTCGTCTCCATGAGCTGCTGTTGATCAGCCTCTCAGCTGTTTGCAGCCAATCTAAATTTATCTCCATAAAATAAGAAAACTCTGAATTTTCTCCTCAATTTCTGACCATAACTGGAACACCTTTATGACCCTTTATGCTGTTACACTTTCCCTGAACATGATTAGCTCCACCCTCTCGTCTTTCCACCTCATTACCCGGACAGGCCTGGGGGGCCTGTTAGCAGCATGCTAATGCGTTCCGACAGCAGGAGCGGACGGGCGGTGGGAAGGTGGAGGAGGGCGGAGGTCCTGTCGGAGACGGCTGAGGATCAGTCTGGAAGCAGAACTGCTCCTAGCTTTTGCTTTGATTTCCATCAAATCAGCATCATCAGAACTCATGGGAGCAGAAACCATTAGACTCCGCTGCTAATGTACATAAATGAACACAATCATGTTTTCTCAACAGGAAAGCCAGTAAAGGCTGTTCGCTCTGTTGAGACGCAGCTGTGCTGTAGATATAGACATCCCATAATTATCAGTGGAAGTTATCCAGGGAGTCGGAGCAAAATCTGACTGGTGAGAGCGACTCTGGGAGTTTATGCATCCACATGGGGAGACGTTTGAAGAGTTAGTCAAAAATTAGCAGCAATAATTTGGGTTTAGCCTGTCATAAGAAAAAAACATGACAGTTTATTCATCAGTCATATTTTCATGTTATTCATTCATTTGTAAATGTCAGTTTACAAACTAACTGGTTAGTTTTAAGCTAAATGTCTAAAATTTAGTTTGGAGATAAATATTTAGCTCCAAGCTAGCTTAATACTTAGCTTACGAACTAGCTCAGAACAAACTAAATATTTCGTAAGCAACCTAATATTTAGCTTTGAACCAGCTAAATATTGATCGCTTACCGACAAGCGGAAATGGACCGTCAAAACAAAAGCGGGGTCCAGACGGAATCCTTCATCTGTTGCTGTCGATCCGGAGGAAAACATCTGTATTTATCTTCTTTGCAGGCCTGATTCACTCACTATGAATTCGATCTGTGTTGATCTGTATTATCTGGTAAAACAGTATAAGCTCATTATGTTATTTATTAAATTGTGTGAGGGAATAAACTTAATATTGCCTTTAAACAAGTTTTTCTTTTAACCTGTAATGTTCTCCAAGAAAAGAGGAAGCAGTGACATAAAGCGATTCGAAAGCAGGAGTTTCGGAAAATCCAGCTTTTGTTTTGATAGCCCACTTCCGGTAACCGCCTAGCTGGTAAATCGTTAGCCTGCTCAGTAAATATTTGCGTCCTGCTAAATAGCGTAGTTTCAAGCAAAGTATTACTTTACTAATTAAACTTAAAGCGTTTATTCCAGTCAGCTCGGTGGATTTTTAAATCTAAACTTTTGGACCAAAATGTTTCAAAACAATCAGCAGAAATTTTCAGTTCAATCAGGTCTGAAGTTCCTCTGTGCAGCAGAACCTGGTTCTGTTCTGGTTCTCCTCATGTTTACCTGGCAGTAAGTGACTCAGCAACAGCCATGTTGGTTCTGAGTGGTGATCCGGTCCAGTCCGATTGAAGCAGATTATAATGATGTGGTATAGTTCAGCTGAACAGAACTGGATCTGAAAACCCGATAAGACTGTACTCACACGGAACTAAACAGAACTTCACATATATTTCCAGTTGAGAGAAACCGGGCCGACCCTCAGCAGAACCGCAGCAGAGTGTAAACAAGCAGAGCCAGAACTGCAGCTTACAGGCCGGGCCGCTGGCGGGAAGCAAGGAGACCAGAAGGTTCTGAAGCAGAACCACTTTGGGCCGTAGGAGCAAATATGGAGAACAACAGAACTTCACCAGATCCGAGATGTTCTGGACCCCAGAGGAACCGATCAGAACCCAACAATCAGAAACTCTGGACTTGTTAATGATAAAAATGGCATTTTATTCCAACAAGTTGCTTCTGTACAGGAGACCAAAGAAACACAAGCAGCTGGAGACGAACGATTCCTCCTCATCATCAGCATGAAGAGTCGGCTCCCGGTGACCTTTGACCCTAAAATATTCCTCATTCAACAGGAAGTAAAAATACACATTTTACAATATTTGACTCCTTGATGGGCATAAAAACAAAGAGGAATTTCCTGCAGTGGTTCTGGTTCTGGTTGGTTCTGCCTGGGATCCAGAGGCAGAAAGAGAATCTCTGCAGACGGAACCAGGGGCCCCAATGGACCTGTGGTTCTGACCTGATCAACTCCAGTCTGAAATTAAAAGGTGGGCCGAGCTTCAGCTCCAGAGACCCGTCCCCATCAGAACCGACCCGGTCCCGGTCTCAGAGCCAGGGGTGCCACGCCGGGTCCATGCGACACAGGTTGTCCAGGCTGTTGGCTGCAGCCACCAGCGTGTTGACCTTGCTCTCCCCGCCCTCGAACTGGGCCAGGTTGTGGAGGCGGGTCATGATGGCGGTGACCGCCTTCTGGACCAGCGACACCAGCTGCTGGGAGTCCATGTTCTCCGGCTGGCCGGCCGGGGACAGCGGGACCGACGTGTCCTCCTGGGTCTTCTTGTGCCATGCTATGATCTCGTCCCGAAGCACCGCCTTCAGGACGCCGTCCACCTGGGACAGAGCAAAGAGACGGGTCAGAACCTCAGGACGGTCTAAACCAGAACCTTCTGGTTCTGGTTTAGACCGTCTGGACGGTCCAACCAGAACCCATGTTCGGACCATGCTGGGCAGTCAGAACTTTCTGGCTGCTGGACCCAAACCGAGTGGGATGCCGGGAAGACTAAACGTCACTAGACCCCCTGCTGAGACCCTGCTGGTTCAGTCTATCTGTAAAAATGCGTCTAACCTGTCCAAGGTGGACATGAGACAACATCTGTTACTGGGAGGTGGAGGCACTGGGAGGCATTGGGAGGCACTGGGCGACATTGGGAGACACTGGGAGGCATTGGGAGACACTGGTGGGCATTGGGAGACACTGGGGGGCATTGGGAGACACTGGGGGGCATTGGGAGACACTGGGGGGCATTGGGAAGAAATTTCTTCCACTTTCAGATGTATCAAACATGCCAGAGGTGAATCTGGTCCTGAACGTCTTAAGGGGAAACATGCAGGACAGTTTCATTGTCAGCCTCCGTTGCTCCGCTCAGATCTTCTCTGCTCATTCATGGTTTAGGGGCTTCAGAGTAAAAGGGGCAGAATACTTTTCGGTCTGCTGAATGGGTCTGTGTTGCTGCGTCACATGACGTCCCAGTCAAAGTGTAGAAAGCCTGAAGGCTGAAGCTGCGACCCAGAGATGACCCCGGCCCGGTTCTGGTACCTTGAAGTTGGGCTGGGCGAAGCACCGCGCCACGGCGATCATGGAGGCAGTGAGCGGCCCAGAGACGCCGATGGTGGTCAGGAACTCGGAGATGTTTGGTGTCAGGCGGAACGGAACCGGCCGGTTGGCGTCCAGGTCGCCGGTGGCGTCGTTGATGTCGAAGCGGAAGTAGGAGACGTTCAGCTTCCCCGTATCCTAGGAAACGGAGGCAGAGGGTAGAGGTCAGCGGGGGAGCTGAGGCCAGGTGACAAACGCACACTAACACACACACACACACAGATGCAGATTGGGCCCTGAACGCACCACGGAGGTGCAGATTGGGCCCTGAACGCACCACGGAGGTGCAGATTGGGCCCTGAACGCACCACGGAGGTGTAGATAAGGTGACCTGCAGGACGGTCCAGTCAGGCGCTCCCAGACGGTGCGGCAGCGTCCTACCTGGGCGATCTGCAGCATCTCTGGGTTGAGGCGGTTCAGGTGCAGCATGAACTCGGCCAGGCCGATCAGCGCCAGCTGGATGGTGAACATCTTGCGGAAGGTCCAGTAGTCGGTGGCGTTGGGGAAGGTGTGCAGGGCCCACTCCTTCAGCATGCTGCGGGGAACCATGTTGCCTTGCACCTCCTTCAGGATGTCCCTCAGCACCTGCAGGCAACAGCACCGCCGCTTAGCCGGCTCACAACTTTACATACCTGCTGACCAAACTGCTTCCATGGATCAGTTAGCTCGACGTGGCGCCGACCCGCAGGCCGGGTTCTGCTACCTGGTGGCTGGCCTGCGTTCCTCTGGCCTGCACCGTCGCCAGGCGGTCATAGTAGCGTGAAATGGGATTGTCGTGCTCGATGCCTTTCTTGGCGCAGCGCTGCTTGTAGATCTCCACCAGAGACAGCGAGGACGGGTTGTCCTCCACCAGACGCATCTGAGGCGAAACCGCAACCACTCGCGGAACTGAGGAGGAAACAGGAAGTGAGGAAACACAGAGAAACTGCGAGGAAAAAAACTAAAGACTGGAACTCTGGAAAGAACTGGAGCCCTGCAGGAAGCAGGCTCTACAAAGGCTGAAGAGGTCAGAGGTCGTACCGGTGAAGAAGAGGTGCCTCTTGGTGGTCTCCTTCCTCTTCTCCAGGCAGGGGTTGAGCAGCCGAAGTAGCTGCAGCACCCTCTCCTCGCGGCGCGACTCGGTCAGGCAGGCGTCGTTCATCACCAGGTACGGGTAGATCTTCCCGTTGTGGCCGCGGATGTAGAGGCGGCGGGCGGCCGTGTTGTGCTTCTGGACGATTTCCACGCGGGGCATGAACCTGCAGAGGAGGCGCAGGCGTGACGGAGGGACGGGTCGCCACTCCTCAGCTGTGTGCAGGGAACGGCGCCTACCTGGCGATCTTGATGTAGTAGTGCGTCGGTTTGGGCATCAGGAACTCTCCGGGGATTTCCACTTCGGCGGTCTGAGCAGAGAAGTTGCTGAGGAAGCGACATTTCTCCTCGATGAGGAAGAACTTGGGAAGCTGCTTGGTTTTGGCCTCCAGGATCTTGATCCACTTCTTCAGCTTGGAGATCAGGTTGTGGAGCTTCATGGAGCCGGGAATGCTGAAGTCAAAGTCTGTGAGAGGAAGAAAGCTTTTCATTTTAATATTCATCCAAATCTGGGCAGAAACAGAGACAAAAATGAGGTGGAAGCTTGTAAAGAACTGATCCTCACAGTCAGAGGGAATCTACTGAATCTGTTTCAGGATGATTCCTGCTCAGCTTCTCCTGTGGATCCATGAAACCTGGAAAAGTTTCCCACCCCACTTTAAAACAGCCACAGTTCCCGCTCTGCGCCCGCCAGCTGTCCTGCTCCACACCGTCACAAAGCTGCAGCTGAACTATAACCGTCAGGCGGCGATGGCTCAGCGCTGAGCAGGAGAGGAAACTAAGTCCTCAGAGTCACGATGCTGCAGAATGGCAGCAAAGCAACATTTTACAGCCTTAATGTCAAACTCCTGACGTTAGGGAACAGGCCTCATGTATAAAGCGTTCATGCGCACAAAAAATGTTCGGCGCCATATTTTACACACAAATCAGCAAAAATAAAAATGAACTTTGCATCAAAGGTGGCGTAAATATACACACACTTTTTCCCTGGCGTGAAAATGTGCAGCAGTAACACAAACTTTATCTGTGGACAGTAATAAACTATAAAGAGTCACATAAATCCACAGAAACCTGATTACATTCAGTTATTTAGACCAGGAATCAAACCTGATGTCTGTTCATGATTTTAATATTTTATTGTTTAAACGATGAAACTGAACCACATTTATCCTGAGACAATAACCTGAAAAATAAAGAAACTAAAGGAAGGTAAAACTTCACTCTGACGTAAATAATAACTTCCTCAGTTTGTCTCATGAAGATGTAACTCATCGTCTGAAAGCATCTGAGGCTCATTTCATTCTGACTGGAGAGAAAACAGGCTGATCAGCAGATGGATCCACCAGGTTCGGTTCTGATCAGGTCCATCAGCAGCTGATCCAGGTGAGCCGCTACCTGAGGAGCTTTGGCTCTGATGGAGGATTGATCACAGATCAGATCCATCTGATGGTCGATCAGCGTTTAGATTCATCCTGGAGCTCTGAGCAGAACTTAGAGCGGTACCAGCGGGACCGGTACCGGGCCAGCTGCAGCCGTCCTCCAGTGGAGCCGCCCGCCTTGTGAAAGTGCCTTATGGACAGAAAGCATCTCTACTCTGTGAATGCAGCTCCTGCTGCTGATTCCAGTCTGCAGAGCAAACGTCCACATTCAGAACCTCTCTGGTCTGTAGACCGGCTGGAGGCTCTGCTGCAGCAGCAGGTCCGACCCGGAGGCTCTGCTGCAGCAGCAGGTCCGACCCGGAGGCTCTGCTGCGGCAGCAGGTCCGACCCGGAGGCTCTGCTGCCGCAGCAGGTCCGACCCGGACAGCTTTACTCTTTACTTTCTAGGGTTTCTTTAACTGTTTTATTTTTGTGAGGTGACCTCATGAGCCCTGAAAGCAGCTTTTAAATAAACTATATTATTATTGTTATAGATGCTTATACTGCTGTTAGCCAGGATGGTTGCCATGGTTACTGCTTCACGTGGCGGCAGACTTCCAGGTATTTATACTAATTTACATTAATACGTTTTTATGGAGGCGACAGGCGGAGCAGCAGCTGCTCCGTTTCCCCCAAATCAGGATTTATGGAGGAAAGGTGAGCAGGTCTGATTGCAGCACGGCTTCATACATCTGGATTTTTTTGTTCGCTGCACTTTTCTAAATTTGTCCTACTCCAAGTTTTAGTGAAAACTGCAGATTTATACACGAGGCCCGTGGACTACTGGCTTGGTTCACCAGGAAGCTACTGACCTTTGACCTTTTATTTATTTACGTTTTGACTGACTGGAATTACTTGATGTTTGAGAAAACGTCTCTAACTGCCGTCTCCATGGCAACCACTGCCTGAAGACTCGGCGCTGCCTCTAGTGGATAATGGAGGAAATCACATCCAGCTGGAAAATAACTTCAGTGCAGAAATAAAACATCTGGAACTGGTCCAGTTTAAACTAGACCAGTTTAAACTGGTCCCAGAGGCGCTGCAGCTCCACTGCAGCTGCAGCAACAGCAGGAAATCTGAGATGCTTTTCTTTCTGCTGCTCAGAGAAACTAAACCATCTGGTTCTGGTTCTGGTCCCAGAAAGGAAGAAATTCAGATTTAGTTCCTGGTGAATCTGAGTCAAACTGGTGGAGTAAAACCCCGGCTGGTGCTGCAGAAACATGACGAATGATTTTCCAATATAGATCCGAAAAGTGTGGCATGCATTTTTTTCATATCCCTCCCAAAAAATAAAAAATGAGTCCAGAGAAACTAGTTTCCTCTAGAAATGCCACAATTACTGAAGAGGCCTTCCAGGTGTGTGCCTGAGCCAACCTGTGGTGAACTGGCCCTTCATCTTCTGGAAAACGGGGTCCTGAGCAGTGGCCTGGGCCCGGCGGGCCAGAGACTCTGAAGCGGCGCTGGAGAACATGGTGGACACGTTGGACACGTTCTCCAGGCCCACACCAAACGTGCTCACCAACTTCTTCACAAAGTTCAGCGTGTGAGGCGTGATCTTGGCGTCCGACACGGCACCGCTCTTCTCAAACGCCACAGAGTAGCATTTAGCTAGGCCCTGCTGCAGCTGCCGCAGCACCTGCAGGAGGAGGAGGAGGAGGGTTAGGCCTTCGTCGGCTGCTCCATTAGTGCTGGACAGGAGCATGTTTCACTGACAGGAAGGTGAGGATGAAGAGTGAATTCAGCAGAGACGAGGCGGTTGAAAAACATGAAACAACTTCTCTGGTAATTTACATGTTCAGCTGCGATGAGGAAATATTAGAAATATGGATTTTAATGCATTCATTTAGATTAATTATGTAGATTTTAACGTGTTCAAACAATAAGCAGCATTAATCACTTTGTATTTTTTTACATATTAAGGTTATGCCTGGAAGTCAAACCCCGCCTGTAAGCTTGATGCTAAAGCCTGTAAGCTTTAGCATCAAGCTTACAGGCGATGGAGGCCGATTCTCTCCCTTAGTTTCTGTTTCTAAACGATCTGATTGGACGATAGAAGAGACTGTTATTGTGTTCAAGTGATGCTAACAGTAGTTAGCCTATCAGAAGCCATGCTAGCCTAAAATAGCATCTGAATGCTAACATGTAGCAGCTAATGCTAACGTTAGCATCCAGATTTTTTTTTTTTAAAGGTTTTATTGGCTCCAGTTGCTGTTATTTGATAGTTAACAGACAGGAAAGTGGGAAATGAGAAACGGGGAAGACATGTAGCAAAGGTCGCCAGGTCGGGAATCGAACCTGTGACAGCCACGTCGAGGACTAAGGCCTCCATATGTGGGTTGTGCTTAACCCCTGCGACACCACAGCACACCCAGCGTCCAGATTTCTAAAGAAGCTCCATGAATGATGAGAGAAACTCTGAGTTGAACTTATCTCTGATGTTCAGATCTGATTATATTAATTCAATAACTTGGCAGAAAAAAGAGAATTTAATGAAAATGTGAAATATTTTGTAGATTTGTGGTTCTGAATGCTGTCCAGGCGGACCCGCCTCGCTGGGACGAGATGGACGGACGGTTTAAAATGCCATTAGTTAATGACAGACCCTGTAGTTAACCCTGGTAACCAGCTGTGGGTGGCTGTAACCATGGTAACCAGCTGTGGGTGGCTGTAACCATGGTAACCAGCTGTGGGTGTCGCCTCACCTCCTCGTGCCAGTTCTCCCTAAACCAAACCATCTGGTCCACGATCCCCTCCAGAGACGACAGCAGCGTCGGGTGCAGCTCCCGCTGCATGTGCATGATGCGGCTGCAGCGCCACATCGGCGCCGTGGCCCGGATGGGGCCCGGGTCGGACGCCCCCGAGTGAGGCTGGGCCCCCACCGAGCCGGGCTGCTGCTGGCCGGATGAATCTGAAACGCAGAGACAGAAAGTCCTGATGGCAGAACCGCAGCCGGGTCTGGACCAGAACCGCAGCCGGGTCTGGACAGAACGGAGTAACAGCAACCAAACTGATCCATGATTATTTATTTAAAGACAAATCTGAAAAGTGTGGCGGAATGTTTAGTTCCTGTGAGAACATCTGAGATCTTCAACATCACGTCCAGAGGCAGTGGTGGACCGAGATCTGGACTTTGACTAGGCCGTTCTAACATCACTGGCCCCATTGGCTTCCTGTCACATTTTACCCTAAACACCTGCAGGTTATGGTTGCCATGGGAACCAGTGCCAGGGTGTGAATACTTTTGAAAGCCTCTTTAGGCTCTGGTTCGTCTTCCAATGGGTCAAAGGTCGGGGCGACTCACCGCTCTTGTAGCGCTCCCGCTGCTCGATCTTCAGGGTCAGGTAGAGCGTCCGGATGGGGAAGTAGACGGCCTGAGGGTAGACGCGCCCGACCTGGCGGGAACAGCAGGGTCAAAGGTCACACACTGCCCTCATGACCTCAAAGCAGAGAGGAAGACGCTGATGAAGATAAACGGTGAGCAGGAGAGTGAGAGAGAGCGCTACGCCTCATTCATGCGCTTAACTTTATTTTGAAAAGTTTCTGAAGTATTTTGATTCGTTGTCATGATAAAATTCATGTATTGATGTTAAATGAACTGACAGTATAATATTAAATATTATATTTACCATCTTCTCCAGTTTGTTCCGTAAAAACAACAAATATCAGCAGAATAGAAAATATGATTCAATGCAACTTCAGCGAATAAATCTCCCTTCATTCAGTCAGAGGCGTCCCGGCAGAAGCCTGTTTAAAATACAACTTTTAATGAAATTTGTGTTTGTGGCGGTATAATCCTGCAGCCTCATAAAACTTACTGTAATAATTTGTTTTTTTATCATATTTTTTATCACAATCGAGGCAAATTCTGGTGATAAACTGAGTCTATCGCCTGGTTCTAGGGATTGAACAATTTTTTAAGGTCGACTACAACATGATAAAAGTCGAGTCGAAGTCGACTAGTCGCGGTGACGTTTTAATGACGCAAATGAGGCTTTATCAGCTAAATTCACCGTAAATATTGATCAAGAACCAGCTTTTACTAGTCTATCATGCAGAATCAAAAGGATAAGAAACACAACATTATCCTGGACTTCTTCCTGAGCGGCGAAGAAAAGTCTGAAAAGTCGCACAAAGTCGGGTCTGGCTTTCTTTCAAACACCGGCTGATGCTGCTGATCTCTGGACAGCTGCACATTTAGGAGTTAAATGATCCCACTGACCACAGTGGAACCTCACCAACCAGACTAATCATGACCGGATCCGTTTGGTTACAGCTGAACCCAGCGCCGCCTCCTGCTGCTCCTCCTCCCGATGCTCCGCCCATCAGCAGCGGCTCTCTGAACCCACATGCAGACGGCGGCAGAGATCGCCTCTATCAGACCCTCAGAGTGAAGCTTGGACTTTGTTTCCAGACGTTAGACGTATTTTAGAAGAGCATAAAGCTGCCAGGTTGGAAGCTTCAACACGCAGAGCGACGCTGATCATCATGCCGCGTTGCCCCACATTACTCCGGTAAACTTTTAGTAAAATGTTTTTGGCACTATTTGCCTTTATTTGACAGCAATCCGACAGGAAGGGGGCAGAGAGTGGATCCCATCCAGGAAGCAAACCGGACAACCAATCAGATAAAGGGGCGGGGCTATGCGCATAAACCGACCAACCAGCAGCAGCCAGAAGCTTCACTGTTTCAGGGACGTGCAGCTATTGATTATTGATCATTAGTAACACAGTGAGAAGAAGAGTAGTAATTTATTACTATAAAACTGATTGTGTTCGCCAACACCAGAAGCTAACAACCAGGCTGGGATTGTTAGCTTCTACTGGTACTGATGGTTCTGTTGGTTCCAGCTCTGAGGAGAGGAAGGCAGCTCGTCATCGCCAGCTTTGAAGATCAGCATCTTTAAATTGTGTGTTTATAATAATGATAATTTATAATAATTCTTCACTGGCCCAAGCTAACTGGCCAGCGCTAACTGGTCCCGGCTTTAATTTCTGGCCCAGTTCCCGCAGCTCGATGTGATATTAACGTTCATTTCTTCAACAAATAATTTAAAAACAAATGGAGCTGAAAGAAGAGCAGAGAGAGATGAAGATGAGGAAGACTGATTTCCTCCCAGCGATGGGGTGGAGATGTTCAGGTCTCACCTGGCTGATGAGGTTGAGCAGCGGTTTGCCCTCTGACCCCACCAGGCAGGTCAGCAGCTGAGGAATCCAGGCCAGCCATTGGATGGGAGGAACGCCGATGCAATATTTATCCACTGCATCCGCCAGCGTGTTCTTATCGTCGAAGCTCAGCAGCCAGAGGACCTGCAGGGAGGAACATAGACTGCTACTGCTGCACCAGTGCCTCGATATGGAGGCTCCTGACGACCCCCCCACTCACCTTGGCCAGGTACTTGCGGGACTTGCTCTCGTTCTGGTGGCGGCAGGCATGCAGGTAGCAGGTGATGGCAGAGACGCCCAGGTGCAGCTGGCGGTCTTTAACGAAGATGTTCTCCAGGTAATCTCCCCACATGGCCCAGGCCTTCACCAGGACGTCGTGCATCTGCACGGCCGCCGAGAACGCCTTGTTGGCCTCCTCCGACCTGCAGGGGGAGCCAAGAGGGGACAAGGATCAGAGGAGGCGGAGCCAAGGAGGGTGCAGGGGGCGGGGCCAATGATCTGATGGGGTGTAGTTTCCAGATGACAAAGGTACCAAAAAGAAGATGACTCCAGTTAGAATCCTGCTTCTCATTTCCTGAGACTCAAAATCAATCTACAATGTCCCAATGTAGATTTTAAAAAATAAAACAAATGCGCCGTCTGTCGTCCTCCATTTCGTAACTACGTGGGACGTCCTGATGTCGCCATCAGGGGTGGAAGAAGGGGGGTACGGTCGGGTACCGCTACCCCTAAAGGATTTAGCGGGGTTCGCAGTACCTGAGAGAGGAGCGGCTGTCAGCTGTAAAACATCAACGGTTCACTGTGCAGCCGTGAGTGATTAGTTTTTCAAGAACAATCTAAAACACGACTTAATCAGTTAATAAATAACTTTTTTTCCATTTCATATTGTTTCTGAGCTGTTCTTTGCTAGAGCAGCGGGGCGACACGTCGATCTCAGCATGAGGTGACAAACTGAACGCC